AAAAGTATCCCACAAGTTAAGGAGGATCGTCGAGAACTGTGTATAATATTAATACCGCTGCTGCCGCCTTAAATTAGGGCAAATGAACCCTATAAACTCGATATATCTTCACAAAACTAAAACAAAAAGCAGCAAAATCAACTTTGCAGGCTTACCAGATTTTCATCTAGACAAATCCCTCCATACAGGACTTTGCAATGCTGGAGATTCTGACAAACCTCCGTGGCGGGAATACTTTCGTTAAGCATACATTCACCCAACAGCGACTTTCTTGTTTGTCTTGGAGTTCCGCAAGAGGCTCCCCGCTTGGACCAAATTGCTGGGCAGAAAAAACAACCCTTTTTGAGGCTTTTCAATAAACTCGGGAGTGGAAAATAAATAAAAGCACGAAAGAGCACGCTGTGCATTGAACCAACTGCGGCAGCACCTGAAAGACCACATTTGCAGCCCCGCTAACATGGAACCCGATAGAAAAGTACAGGTTTTGTAGTGGATTTGAGACGAGTGTAGAGGGACAACATTATTTTAGATAACTTTGCCTATTTCAAAAACACCACTTGCCTCAAACTGAAGAACGGTAAAGATGAAGTATATGACTCTTTAAACAGGAACCGCTGCAATACCATACTGGCGGCACAGGTGCTAACTCAAACCCCGGATGCATGTTTTGCCGGCATTCTAACGCTGCTTGACATAGCTGCGAGGGGTCCGGCTCATCAGTGGCTCCCCGGCATACCTTTGTAGTGGTCGATGCTGCCCGATGCCCCACGAATTCGTGACGCCACAGACGAGGTCACTCAGAGCAAAGGACTTCGCGCGAAGGCAGTTTTCAGTGTGCATCGAACCAGACGCAAACTGACGCGCGACCGAACGCCCGCAACGTGTCGCCCCCCGTTCTTGCCTCAACCCACAATTGCTTGCGCTCAATCCGTCCAATGAAATTCCCGCGTTAGTAGACTAACCTCGTTTATTAGGTTGGCCTCAATCCGTGGGGACACAGATGACTATGCGGTGCCTGCCCCCAGGCATCACTTCGGACTTGTTTTCCTTTGCAGCACTGCGCCCATCCCACCTCAGGACACTGACAGCTAGGCGGTGGCCTGTTGCTGGCAGTGGGGGAGAGAGTGAGGTTGACCATCAGCGCATTTCTTTCCTCAATATAATCAGTCTAATGCGCTTTAAACTATCGGAGTGCGCTAGTAGCCGTGGCTTGGAGTGTTGCAAACGGACAGGATAACTTGAGCACCGCAGTCGGCCGAATGTCTCTTGTTATGTTGAG